CGGTCTGTGATTTGAAGTTGTGAGAAGGGTAAGCCTCCGCTTTGGGGAGTTTACTTGCTCATGTGGAGCAGGTCAAACTGGCCTCACAAAGCAAGCTCTTTAGAAACGCATCCCTGAACATTACCCTGCCTGGTTCTCCAAAGATTTTCAGAATTCAGTCGAAACTTAATCTTGGATCATCTTGTTAATTTTGGCCACTCCGCTTCACCAGAAGCCTCCTTTAGAATTATACATACAGTCAAAAGAGCTGTATCAATAAGAATGTAAATGAAAAACTTATGCATTGCAGAAACTATCGCTATCCACTAGTTTAAGCCTAACATTTGCGTACAAAAGCAGTGTGTTCAATCCCACATTCTTCCATGACCCTAACCTCCCTTTCTATCATCCATAATCTATCGTTTTTATTCGTTTTATCATTCCTACTCCTTGCCAATTATTTTCACAACTATCAATTAGCAATTATTACAACTTTTAACAATCCTGTTCTTAATAGTTATCAATTGGATAATTATTTCACCTCACCACTTTTCACTAGCCGACTATTACATGATTTCCTTTCAACTTTAATTAATTAGCACCTTTTTATTTCACTATAGAACACTATTTTAGCAAATAAAAATTGATTACAAATATGACTGTAAATGAAATAATCGAATTGAAACTTTTCCTCGCTGAATTTTCTTCCTTCTTCTTCAATAATTTGAAGATGATAAAATAAATATTTATAAAGATTTTACTAAAACTGTAGTTTTCAAAATGAGTAGAACCTTTATGTAAAAAGTAAGTTATATTACAAGTATCTGAAATGAGAGCATATCATGCGAATTTAATACAACTCAGTTTCACCTAGTTACGTCATCTCAAAATATAAATCTGTTAAGCACTATGTATGATTCGATATCATTCACCTGCTTAAGCAACTGCCCAGAGTTAAAGTGAATTCAAAAGTGTGACCGACTGAATTGAATCAGATTAAGCACACCGTTGATAGGGAGGCATAAAAGACAGAAACACTCGTATGGTCTTTAGATTATTTTAATATATGTTAAGTACTGCCTATTGATTGGTTTTCAGTTACTTATTTTGCTCAGTATTAAAAAACTTTAGATTCAACTCCTAATCTTATATAAACCTATGGTTTCTCATACTCATACCATAAAATAGAGAACTTTGCTAAACAGAATAACTCTTGTGCATTTACATTCGATACGGCAGTTGCAATCTAACTGGTCACAAAGTACTGACTAACGTTATGTCTGTCTAGCACTTTTGGTGCTTATCAAATCCTACCAATTGCTTTGTACCGTGGCCACCAGCACAAGGGAATCGACAGCATTTGCACTATGTTGAGAAATGAGGTGACTGAAATAAGTCGTCAGAAAACCCTGAAACTGGGTTTTTTGTTATTTGGATATCATCAGAAATTGTGCATGAAACCTCATGTAAATCAACAATCCCTGTGGGATTGAACAAACTCTTTTGCTCATAATTATCATTTATTGTTCGAAAAGGGAATGTGTAATAAAAATATCATATGACTTCAATTTCAACCATAGGTGATAAAAACCTTGATTACCTGGATCTACCTAATGATTCCTCAGTCAATCATATTTTAGGCAAATTCTTCACAAAATTAATGTGTTTCTTAATAAATTTTCTATTCAATTATTAATTCTATGTAAGATGTCAATTTTTAACGGAATGATAACTGAACGTAAAAAGACTTTTCAAATATCATCATTGAAGAAACTGACAGATTCAAATTATGTTACCAACTAACATCGTCAGTAGTAACTACAAATTTTATAAATTATCACAAAACACTAGTAGAATTAAAACAGTGCCCATAAACTTGAGAACCATTTTTGAATAATTAAATTGTTTTCCTTAAACATCAAGTCTTTTTTTATTTTAGAAGGAACTAAACTTAGAAAAAATAGACTTGATTTAAGCATAGGTCACCGAAAGTTAATGATTTCGATTGATTGTAAACAATGAAAATATTATTAGTTAAACATTACTCGATAAAGAACTTACATAATTAAGTTATCTAAATCTAAAACACTTGAATAAGATAAGTTAAAATTCACTTGGTGTTGTTTTACTTGTATCTTTCCATTGTTATTTAGGACTGCAATTGATCAGTCTCATGTTGGCATATGGAGTGAACATTAACTCTGAGATGCAGGTACATTCATCTGGTGAATCCCAAATAGAAAGAAACGCGCGTCCCGGATCCCACTACTAGCCACTATCCATCTTTACTTAATAAGTTAAAATTGCTTAGCAATTGAGATTACTAAAAGTAAAATAATTACGAAGGTAATTATTAATAAGATATGAAAATTAATTTAAACAATATAATTTAGTTAAACAGTTTTATACATATAGTTCCCTTTATTATCTTAAAGAGAGCAAGAAACAAGATTGGTGTAGAATAATATATGAATTCGTTTCATTTCGTTAGTTTCTCATCAGCTGTGTACAACTTATAATATTTTAAGATCAACGTTATTACAGATATTGACATACTTATACATAAAAGGGTGATGAAAGATGAATATGTGTATCATGATGTAGTGAAGATTTCAATAGTTAATAAGGTCATAAAAATTTTGTTTCGAATGAATAAAGTTTGGGAGGGAAAGTTTCAGAACATTGAAATGGTAATGAGAAGTCATGGAGTTAACAGAAATTAGATGATTGTGTAATAAAGCAACAGGAAATAGGTTAATGGTAATAAAGAAAGATATGAATTGAGATCAGTCAGTTATGAATTAAAGAGAAATGACAATGATGTAATTTAAACTTCAGAAAGAGTTAAAATAATGGATGACGCAATAAATAAAAAGAGGGGTTTTGTGTTACCAGGGCAAAGAAAGATTTATTACTGTCTCTTTTTGTATAAATAGATCTGGTGTTAGACGTTTTATTGGTATTACTCCGGCAAATTTCAAAAGGTTTGAATTTGATTGTTTGTTGATCACATTGAAAGACTTCAGTGTATCGACTTCATGTCCCGTGTCAAGGAGATGTCTTGCAATGGCACTGCTGAATGCCTTCAATCAATTTGATGTTAAACTTTTCGGAATATGTTCTTTGAATCGGATGTAGGCTCTCCTTTCTGTTCTACCAATGTAGCTGCTTTGGCAGACACATGTAAATTTGTATACACAGTTGGTGGTAATACAAAAGGGATACCTATCGACCTCTGATTGTGTCAAAGAACATGTTGTTTTGGACAGGACAATCAATTTAGCCACAGGATAGGTCGTTGTCAATGCATTTTTAAGTCTCATATTGATTTACCCTTTGACATCATCACCTTTGAATTTAGGTTGAATAAAAATAGATTTTTTTTTATTTTCTGTAGTCTTTTTGGGTTTTTTTTATCTTCACGATTACCATATTTCACAATAAATTTCAGTGGGTATCCGTTATCCTTTAAACACTTTGACATTCACAACTTGCTATTCTAGTGTATCGGCAGTACATATTCTTCCTGTTCTGTGTAACAGTGTTTTGACAAGTGCGTTTTTGCAACTGATTGGAAAAACGCTGTTGAAATTGAGATAAATCCCATTCCATATGTCTTTCCTATCAACTGAACGCTCAACTGTACCATCCTTCCTTCGTTTCATCGCGATATCGAGTAAATGGAACTTGTTTTGTTTTTCATGTTCCATAATGAAATGGATGGGCTTCATTGAAAAATTTTAGCAGATTTGTTGCATGTTGTTGATTAATACATACGATAAAGGTATCATCAACGTACCTCGAATAATACATCATTTCATCAATCGTTCTTTTGAGCTTGGTTCTTTCGAAGTTATCTTAATCTCAGATCACTGTTTAATTACTGTCTCACTGCTTATTTAGGTTAGTTCATTGTTACAGTTGATATTGGTTTGTGATCATTACTGATTTTTAGCACACTAAATCCTGAACAAGCCCTTCAGTTTAATAATATTCTCATACAAATTTTCATTCGTTCCTTATAAAAAATGATGTGTAGATTTAATAATAGATGAATAAATCAGTGTAACGTGATCCATATAACAGATGTTTTGTAATACTTCCAGGAAGTGTCTGAATTGTAATGGCAATTAATAAAATTATTATTATTAAAGTAAAAAAGTGCTTTTAATCAATAAACTTATACTGAACATCTGAAGACATCCATTAGCATGTCCTTCTTCTCAGAATCGATATTTACATTTTATTAAAGACTACTTTAATAGTTTTGAGCAAATAATGGATATTTGCAGTTCAAGTTTCATTAACAGAGCATATCTTTGATCTACATTGACGAAGAAATATGGATCCTTGGATCATTCGGATCAACAGGTAAAAATACCTCATTGATGCTTATTTTATGGGAATTAAAAAATAACAATAATAATTTAGTTACATTTCAAATAATTAAATTCAATGTGATTCATGATCTCAACCAAAAAAAAGTATTTACTACAAGACTGATAAACAATAAACACAATTTTGAAAAGGTTTGCAAAATTTCATGGGATTATCTTCATTACTATATATACATATTACTAATCAATAATAAACAGAGCTGTGATTCATCTTCTGTAAAACACGAATTCCATTATATCCGTGAGAAAGAAAAGTTCGTATTGAAAAAAAATTGGACATCTGACTTTCTTTCCCCTGGATCCATAGTAACTTATTCCATTATGTATCATCATAAATCTATTTTGGAACTGTGTTATTTCACAAAGTGGATTTTTTCAAAGATGAAGTCAAACAAATATACTTATTTTTCTGTCTTAAATATTAGTCTATTTATCATTCTATCTAGTCTTTCTTTACATAAAATAATTTATTATTAGTAAGGCCATACATTTATGTGTATAAAGTACTCTGAATAAATATGCAGATAGATACAAGTAAGACGAAGGGTTCAGTAGACGAATAAAAGTTTTTTTCGTAGTTCTCTCACTCCCTTTGATTGTCTTTAGATGGTTAAGCTGTAAAAATATGAAACTATTCAGTAATGATAATCATGAATAAATAGTTATTTCATTTATGGAATCAACTAATTTGTACTTACAAAATCCTTAATGCAGGTACATGTTTGTAGTTACCATAAGAAATGATATGTCCGTTTTGTATAATAATATAATCTTTAAGAAACATAGTTGATTCGTTTTTACACAAATAAACTGAACGAAAATTTGCAAACCAACTAGTAGTTATGCACAAAATTTGATACACACATTTGCACACACTAAAATGTATATTGTACCATTGAAAATTTGTTTAAATCTTTATTTTCAACAACAAAAAAGATAATAATAAAATAAAGGTGATTTAATAATCTACTATGCGTGTCAGAGCACAATCATCACAATAAATAACTTTTTTATTCAGATAATCAAAATAAAGTTGTGTATATTGTTTAATATCTATCAATGTAAATTAAATTAAAAATAGTCAATTCAACCTGTAAACCATCTAGTTCATTGTATCACTTCTCATGTAATAACCTATTTATCATTATTTAAAAAGATGGATATTTTCTGTAAACCTAAATGTTTTACATCAATTCATACTATAATTATGACAAAATGTATAACTTTATTAATTATTTATGGACTGATAACTATTACAATATCTCCTACAATTATAACTTGTCAAAAGATTAGTTGGGGCCTTGTTCATTCAATGTAAGTGATCTATATTGTTTCTATGGAATATATTTTTTTTTAATGTAAAAAAATCATAATACTGTCTGTTGATCATGTTCAATATTTATTTAAATGAAATTGTTTAATGTTTGTCGTTAGGTATATTTCTGTATTTTTGTATGATTTTTACTACCCTTTTTGATGAGACTAGTACAAAATGAATATTGGATTCACTTTTAAATACCTTAGAAATATATATATGCTTGCCTGTGTTACGATGGAACAATCTACTGATAACTAAAATTACTATGCTAATTGAAATAATTAAACTTCAAACTTACAGATATCAGGAAACAGTAGCATTAACTAATACAGGACTCTCAGTTAAAATAGAATGACTATGAGTTATTTATCAATTTCAAAAAGAATGTTTAGTGAAAAGTGAAGATAAGATTTCAGTGATCAATCAGGTTTCCTTTATTCACTATCACATTAAAGTGATATTAAATTTGTCTTTAATCTAACACAACTTCAAAAACTCTAGAGTACCTGTATCTAAAATCCTAAGCTATGATCATCATCTTTGTTTAATGATTATTTTAACGTCAATAAGGTTTAAATCAATCCTCTTGATGAGTTGTTAAATCAAGAGTACATAAATTATAACGGGTTTATTTTATGTTTCCTTTTCGAATTCTTTGTTATTATTATGCATGTTTAAATATTTAGAAAATATTCTGAATAAATGCACATCATCAGCATTAATAATAGATGATACTTTGTGAATACATAGCTAGTGTTATAATATATAGTGATGTTTGACTAAAATACTCACTACATACTATGGTATGGATTCCAGGGAAAATAAATAAATAAATCATCATTCACAGGCACAATTAATTCCACTATCAGTTAAACTTAGCAATATTCGATAGGAATTCTTAGATTTACAGTCTCAAATTCGAAGAAATTCCAAATGCGTGATAAATATTATATCCATAATGCAAACTTGTTAAGGTTATGATACAGTACAGGATTATAATAATTTGGTCACAATCACTTTTTTGTATTGTCCATAAAATGAATCTTCCTTCTAGAATATCTCTCCAAGAATTCACTTGATTTCTCAATAAAATTGATTAAAGCTATAAGTATATTTTGTTAAGTTGGATATTTAATCTCATAGTTGTTTCTTCATTTTACAATTGAAGTAAATCATCAGTACTTGTGTGTAAACAAGTGATTAGATGCTACATTTGAAAAATAAATAGTTGATAAAACAAGTACAAAAGTTCTTATTTATAAAACATCATAGTTATGTAAATGTTGATTTTATCAGGTCTAATATTTTTAGACACTTATTCTATATTTAAATAATGTAAAGTTCTATTACTAGACATGATTGAAATTATAACCAGTATGGTTTATATAACCTTTGAAATTTCGGACATTATGATTTCCTGTTTTCATTATGTACTCCCTTAAGTGCTGAACACTTTTTTAATCAAACGATATATGTATATATTCATTATGCATTTTTTACACTATCATACTTCATATCTCATCATTTAGTTTATTGTTATTTATCTATACTTGATATCATTTTGTGTAATAAAAACATTTTGTTAAACATTGCTAACGAATTCTTGTGAAAACTACAGAAAATATTAGTTTCTTTTTTAATTAGTTGACTGGTATGACTGAGGTGAAAAATGACTAATGATACATTTTGTTACTGGTCAGGAAAGCAAACTTGAATAAAATGATATTTGAGGAATAAATTCAGTTGTAGAATGAAAAATCAAACGTTTTCTTTTTTGGTTTTATGGAAGTTATATTCATCACATAGTAAAAATATCAAAGTATAATGGTATTGAATCAACATTACTTTCAAGTTTATATGGTGACAGAAATTTATTCTAATTGGCCTAAGAAATGGTTGTGGAGATGTGGTAAAGTTCCATATTTAGAACATAAAGGATAAGCCAAACAAAGAAAAGAATTCAGTGTTATACACAACTCCACGACATTGTAAAGAAAAATGTAAAACAACCAATGTCTGATTTGTCTCTTTGTAATAACAATCCAAAGTTATATAACAAAATTATTCATAAAAGTATTTATTCTTTCTGAAAAAAAGATTCATGTCTAATTATGAAATAAAAGTTTGAAAACTTGTGAGAAATCCCATATCGATTCTAATTTTTGATCCGTTTCATCCATTTTTATGGATTTTTCAGTTTTTTTCAACAAAAACCAATTCATTTAGAATCTACAATAGTTCAGCTGTAAGTTTATGCAACACATGGTAATCGCCAAAGTGAATTCCTTTAACAATAGATTAGGTCTAGAGACTAAATTGTGGTCGACTAAAGAAATATTCCTTTAAAATATTACAAATATACTTTGTTTCATACTGAACGTTGAAGGTCCGTTTCGCAGAATGATTTTGTGAGACAATTATTAAAAGCTAGAAAAGACTAAACAAACTCTTCATCCTCCTATAGGACAGACAAGCAGTCCGCATCCGTAGTTAGACCTGGGATTGAAACCAGAATCTTCAGGTTGATAGTGATTATCCTCCAGACCGGTGAGTTAGCATTCAGTGGTGTACATTTCTAACTTAGGACAATTTTCAATATTGTGCAACTCCAACTTCTTTCCATTGACGATATTTATCTCAGGTTTGACATGCATAAACTCCATTAATCATGGCTACCACTAGAAGTCTGAGAATTACCTTTCAATGTATCCATAATTTTCTCCATATGCTTTCATCATAGTTTGAATGAAGTAATGACGCATTTGTTGATTTACTGTGATACATTTTCACACATTTACAGTTTTTAAGTCTAGTATTCTAGTCTTTTTTCTTGTCATTTTTCAGTTTTCATAAAGATGATAATTTGACTGCTGCGTTTTGTAAATACTTGTTGTGACAATTTAGAAGGATCGTAGTTTTGTAATAAGAAGATTCCACTACAGTTAAGTTCATGACAGCTTGAGAAAATATTGTTTCAAACAACTGTATCTCTTTAGAAAATTAATAAAGTCCTTCACGTGCTCTTCTAGAATAAAAGTTTCTCAACAGGAGTAAAAGAATGTTAATGGCCTTTCTGTTGTTGTTCATTATGACAGTTTAATTTGGTCGTAAATAAGTGAAGAAAATTCTGTTTTAGGCTTTCAAATGTAAAATAAAACAGAGTTCCAGTTTTCGTACCAGTCAATTATAGTATTTCAAGTGTTCAGTTAGTTTATTTGTAAAAAGTAAGTCCTGGAATGAAGATGCAGTAATTGGAGAATTAAAGCAACTTGCTTTTCGATGTCTTTACATAATGAAGGACTCATAATATAGCAAGATTTTGCGCCTTTATTCCAGCCATCAAAGTAATAATTAACAAACTTCACTCTAAGACATTTAATGCACAAGACTGACAGATTATTAACTAACTAATTCGAAATTTTATACAGTTAGTTTCTTTTATAAATTTTAACAGACCAAAATCAGCAATCGATGCAGAATAATATGATTCCACATGGATTTGCGTTAATTACTATTCTTGCTATATTAAAACGTGAAATGACATCAGTGACTCACGTTAAAATGTAGAGACCTCACCAACAGACCTCAACATTTAGTAATCAATCTATGAGAGGCAAAGGATGTATGAAATATAGTGTTAGCAGTTCCATATAGCTAAATGACTTTAAATGGTATTGAACTTTATATTCTTACTTTTGGATTTCCGAGACAATCGTAATATTCTTTGAAAAATCGTTATCAAATATATTTGTTAGATAGATGGATAAAGAACAGGACAAACTAATATGATCAAATGCACGTGCATCATCTGAAAAAGGTTTCGGTAACCTATGTTATTCTATTGCACTATATATTTATAGACAATCCTGTGTTGGATTATATAATTTCGTGCTGCTCGAATTATGCTCTAAGTGTTGGAATAATCATAAGATTTACACAATGAACTAGCTAGTATTTTATGCATTTTTTAAAATCTTTGTTGGTATACGACTGTGTGTCAGTCCAGTTCTTTAAAACTAGTGGACAGACTTCTTGTCAGATTCCTTACTAACAAAAATCTTTAATCCGGTCTTGTCAATATTATTGGGATTTAGTAACGAATAAAAATCACTTTGTTTATAACTTAATATAAGATATTGGTCAAAAGTATCGATAAGAACATCAATAATTATCATTAGTCTTAACTGTTTAATGTGTAATACTTTATCCTTAATTTTTAAATCATGTTTAGAATGGTTAACTATAAAGATTAAAAATAAATAAAATATTCTACATCGCTTCGAGTGACCTTTTCTCAGAGATCCTGTAGCGAAACCACGTGTTAAATAATTAGTTGGTTTAAGTCAAATTACAGAAGAGTTTCAGCCACAATTTTCTAGAAAGTACGTAAACACTGGAATAAGATCTTTCTAAAAAGTCTGCTACCACTATTTAGAAGGATCCAAAAATTTAACACGTAGTGAGAATTGTGTAAATTTTTGAACATTATATCTCTTACCAATCTTAACTTGGATTATACTATGGCTTGTTTCCAAATGTTACGACAATTACATTTATTCCAAAATACTTAGGTAGCTAAGAAAATACAATGTCTCTACGAAATTTGATAAATTTATACCCAGAATTTCATGGATTCTCATACTTATGGGTTATATATTGCTGGTAGGAATAGTTTTTCTAGAATCATATGAACAATAGATAGATAATGGCTAGGAGTGAAATCCAGGACGCACGTTTCGTCTTATTTGGGACTCGCCAACTGGATGCACCTGAATCTCCGAGTTCATCTTCACTCTGGGACTCCAACCCAAGTGGCTATCAGGACTCAGTGGCTAAGTGGATAACACGATGCCGTTTGAAGCGAACGGTACTGGGTTTGAGTCCCAGAGTGAACATCAACTCTGAGATGTAGATACATTCATCTGACGAGTCCCAAATGAGACGAAACGCGCGTCCTAGATTCCACTGCTAGCCACCATCATCCATCTTTGCTTAT